ACTTAGGTCAGTTATAGTTTGCATGCAGAACATTTCAGGTTTGAGACTTCTCTCTTTTTTAAATGGGGGCGAGAAAGTTATATATTTTTTTATAAATTCTCCTCACTTTCCGTTGGAATATCTCTGGTGGGGAACCAGATACAAACCTAAAGTTTTAACAGAAATAAGTTCTCTGTAGTAGCATTCTGCTGTAAAAAATTGTTTGAGAATTAAATTTTTTTTTTAAAGGGGTACTTGAGTAAGCATAGTGCATATGCAGGACAATTCCTAATCATAGTTACAGGTTATGATCCAGAGGCACAAGATGGTTTAAATAAAATGGGCACAGTCCCATCTTTAATGAATAATCGTTTTGAAAATCCCACTTTGACTTGAGCTAGATTTGAGAAGCAGTCGTCAGTGAAACGACGGGAACACAGATGAAGGTAGAGTTGAACTGCTGTGGTATCGTTTTAAAATGAATTCTAAACACTGACTCTTTACATCCTCATCTACTGGGAGTCCCTGCAAAGCAGCGCAGAAAACAACGGCTTCTTGACATGAACCTAAGTCTTTCAGGACACAACTACAACTTTAGTGTTTGAGGGCGGGTCAAAGTACACATTGTTTGCAAGCAACCAATGAAGACCAAGGTGTGGTGTTTGTTACCAAATTACGTAGGTTAGTACAGGAAGTAAGTCTGGAATCACTAACGACTCGTTCAGAATCAGTTATTTCTTTTGGGAGTCAATAACCCCATTTGTCGTACGCTTTGATTATTGAAACCATGCAGACTTTTTACTTTCACAAACAGCTCTATAACACACTACATGAAAGGTAATGCATGAAAAACCATAATAGGGGCGCTTTAAACCAAGTAAAAGGAAAAAGAAATGGTGGTTGTTCAATGGCAATACATAGAGGTAATCACTCAAAACAAAACCATCCTTACAATTATTGGACAACTTGAGATGGACCTTATTGATGGCAATGTATACAGTGCTGTGAAAAAGTATTTGCTCCATCCTGATTTCTATTGTTTTTGTCTCTCTCATATTAAATTGTTTCAGAATTCAAAAAATAATTTAAAACAAAGGCAACCTGAGTAAACACAAAATACAGTTTTAAATGATATTTATTGAATCAAAAAAGTAATCCAATACCAACTGGGCCTGTGTGAAAATGTATTTGCCCCCATAGTTACTAATTCCCCAAATCTATGAAACTGCAATCACAATGTGGTTCAGCTGGACTAGACACAACCAGGCCTGATTACTGCAAACCCTGTTCAATCACATCAACACTTACATAGAACTTTTTCAACAGCATGAAGTTGCTTAAAAGGTCTTACCCAGTAATACACTATGCTAAAGTTGAAAGAAATTCCATAAATGAGGAAGAAGGTGATTGAAACAAATTAGTCTGGGAAGGGTTACAAAGCTATTTCAAAGGCTCTGGGGTCCAAAGAACCACAGTGATCGCCATTATCTCCAAATGGAAAAACTCTGAAGTGTAGTGAACCTTCCCAGAAGTGTCTGACCTTCCAAAATTCCTCCAAGAGCACAGTGACTACTCATCCAGGAAGTCACAAAAGAGCCAAGGACAACATCAAAGGACCTACAGGTCTCTCTTGCATCAATAAAACTCACTGTTTATGACTCCACTATCAGAAAGTCACTGGTCAAAAATGGCGTCCATGGAAGAGTGGCGAGGTGAAAACCACTGCTAACCCAGAGGAACATTTAAGGCTCGTCTGAATTTTGCCAAAGCACACCTTGATGATCCTTAAACCTTTGGGGAGAATCTTCTGTGGATTGATGAGTCAAAAGTGGAACTGTTTGGAAAACAGGGGTCCCGTTACATCCCGAAACACAGAATTCCACAAAAAGAACATAATACCTACGGTCAAGCATGGTGGTGGAAGTGTGATGGTGTGGGGATGCTTTGCTGTACCAGGGCCTCGGCATCTTGCAATAATTGAGGGAAACATGAATTTTGCTCTTTACAAGAAAATCCTAAAGGAGAATGTCCTGTCTTCAGTCTGTAAGTTGAAACTCAAGCGCAACTGAATTATGTAACAAGACAATGATCCGAAGTATAAGAGTAAATCCTAGTCCTAGAAGTAAGTGAAAGACTGATCTCCAGTTATCTACATTTACATTACATTTATTCACTTAACAGACGCTTTTATCCAAAGCGACTTACAAATGAGAAAAATACAAGCAAAGCGATATATCAAGCAGAGAACAATACAAGTAGTGCTACCGTACAAGATCCATCAGCTGAGTTCCAGAGGAAGCAAAGTGCACAGAGTAGAGGTGTAAGTGCAAAAATAAAAACATTTTAATGAGTTGGTTAGATGTTCACGGAAGAGGTGAGTCTTTAGCTGTTTTTTGAAGATGGTGGGAGATTATGCGGTCCAGATTGAGATTGGGAGTTCATTCCACCACTGAGGAACAGTTAGTGTGAAGGTTCTGGAAAGGGACCTTACGCCACGCTGAGTGGGAACTACTAAACGTCGGTTGCTAATCGATCGCAGATTGCGAGAGGGAACGTAGGCCTTCAGGAGAGAGTTGAGGTAGGAGGGTTCTGTTCCTGTTTATCTGAAGCGTTTGGGTGCGGTTATTGCTGCTCAAGGTGCCACAACCAGATTTTAAGTTTAAAGGGGCAATTAGTTTTACACATTGGTCACAGATTGGATAATTTTTTTATTTTTTTATTTTTTTGTGCTTCAATAAGAAAATAAAAACGGTATTGCGTGTTTATTCAGGTTGCCTTTGTTTTATGTTGTATTTCGTTTGAAGATCTAAAACTATTTCGTATGAGAGATGCACAACAACAGAACTAAATACTTTTTTCACAGCACTGGATGTAATAATACCAGATAAATTCATGAAATAACTAGCCAGTGTAAGAAAGTGTTGTTTTATTGCTGCTTATTTAAGAAAAGTGAATGTTAAGAGATTTTTCTATTTGTTTTTATAGAATGTTGAGACTTTTTAATAACACGTTTTGCCATTGTGTTCTTAATGGGCTTTAAAATGTACAGGGTTTGGAACTGTTGGACAGCACTGTTGTATATTTTACCAACTAATCTTAGTGCCTAACAGTTGGACATGACATCCTACAGCTAAATATAAGCACTTTGTTTGTTTGGACTTAGTATTTTGTGGACTGGTTTGGAAATGACACTTTTTTTTGGCAGTTTTGGAAACCCTTACTAGCAACAGCCTCGGGCATTCACTGAAGCAATAGGTTTCTTTCAAAATTACACCACACCAGGGGCTGCCGAGTAGCGCAACAGGAAAGCGGCCACCCTATTGTGAGGAGATTGCATGTTCGAATGCAGATGAGGCAAGGCAGCAAAATTGGCATGGCAATAGCAATCTGCCTCGCCTGTCAATCACAGTGACGCCGGCCAATCGTGGCATTTGTGTGCTCATGAAAGGGGAAGGGGCGAATAGCGCTTTCCTCCGAGTGTGTTACACTGCCCTGTGATACAGCATGAGCAGCAGTCTGAAAAGATGTGGTTGGCTGACTTCACATGTCTCGGAGGAAGCACGTTTTAACCTCCATGTTAACTGGCTGGTGAGTAGGAATTGGCAGGAGAAAAACATAATAAAAAAAATAAATAAAATCAAATAACTACAATTAATGAATGAATGAATTAATAATAATTTTTAAAAAATCACACCAGGACCGAAGAAAAAGACACATTAGTACAGTAAATTCGTGGAGGGTATCACTATTCATTATTCTCTGTCTAAAGAATAATGTTTATTGTGATTTGGATGATTTCAATTCAGCACGTGCGTATATGAACCAGGGTTGATAAACGTGTCCATTGTGATTTGCTAACAGGCCTCATTTGTCCGGTGACCTATCAGAGGAAGAGGAGGGGCTAAGCTCGAACGAGGAGGACGACAACAGCTCCACGTCCAGCAAGGATGAAATGGACCAGTCAAGAGACAAAGAGGTGAGACCGAGTTCATTCACATATCCTGTCGTTACACAACGAAGTGCAGTGGGAAGCATGGATTCATTTGAACTGCAGCCAAACAATGTGAAATATGCAGTACGCTTGATCATCACGGTTATTTATTTAGATTATTTAGTAAATTAACAGTATTATTGTAATATACAAACAATTTAAATGTGCCCTCAAAAGGGTTCCTCAGGTCCGGTTATGTACCGTAGATGCGTTTTAAACATTACACTACACACACATCCTGTAAAGGTATGTTAAGCATGTAGTAAATGAGCATCTTAAACACAGTGCTTCTTAAATTCACACTATATATGTCATTTTCTAGGATTTCGGATTTTCTCCACTGACACACCTGGATAATAAGTGCTTTCTGAAATCTTTTAAGATTCTCATGTTTTTACCATACAGTTATGTGTCAATGGATTGGCTGTATTCAATGCTCAGATGGTGGAGTTTTATAAAAGCTTACCTCTCTGGGTATTCCTACTATTCTGAGAATGAAGTCTTACTCCATATATATTTATCTCGGAGGAATTCCGGCCACGTTGATGATGCAACAGTCCCAAAACTGTAACTTTTACAAATGACCGCTACCAGAAAGCTTCCCAAAGCCATTATTTAAGCTCAGAGTGATTAAAGATAGCCTCCGGGTGGAGAAGCCTGCTTATTACAGATGGGTGATCCCACTGATTTATTTATTTTTATCCAAACCCAAGTAATACTAAAGCTTGTACTCCAATACTGGTACTTTTACAAGTTATCTAAATTTAAAAAAAAAAAAAAAAACCCACACACACTGGAAATTGTAAATTTTGGTCAATCTTGACATGAAGATATTTAGAAGCCTTTGCCTTTTTTTTCTCTTTCCTTTTCTTTTTTCCATAAACTAATAAATAAATGAATAATTTTCTCATGCTGTCAGTAAACTCAACCTTACTCCTACTGTGGAAAATTTCCAGGTTTGTGCAATTCGACACGTAATTACAGATTTTTGCTTCTAGATCGTAAAAATCTTTAATAAATAAACTTTTTGGTGGCTGTGGCTCAGTGGGTAGAGCGGGTCGTCCACTAATCGTTAGGGTTCGCGGTTCGATTCCCGGCCCACGTGACTCCACGTACAGAAGTGTCCTTGGGCAAGACACTGAACCCCGAGTTGCTCCCGATGGCAAGCTAGCACCTTGCATGGCATCTCTGCTACCATTGGTGTGTGAGTGTGAAAGAACGAGAACCAGTGTAAAGCGCTTTTTAGACTCGCTAAGGTTCAAACAAAGCGCTATATAAGTGCAGACCATTTAGCAGTATTTATTTTTTTTTTTACGTGATTGACAAATGGAAACCTGCTGCTTAATACGGCCCAGTGTTTCATTATCAAAGCGCCCGAACACCCAACATAAAAACGGGAAAACACACAACTTTAACCACAAAGTTCTCGTTTTTGTTCAAAACGGTGTGAAAATTGTTGCACTTTGTTACGTGGTTAAATTTCATCTTAAAAACGTCAATTTTTAGTGTGTCTGCTAAAAAGGTTTTTTGAAACAGACCTCCTTCTATTGTTTTTTTTTATCTCTCTCTCTCTCTCTCTCTCTCTCTCTGTTAACTATTCTCTGGTTAAAACACACACACACACCGCGTGAGAAACAGGAGGTCTACTCAGTCAAACTGTACTTATGTTGAGACAGACCATGGATCCAAATAAAGACCCTCAGTCCCCCCCCAACCCCACACACACACCCACACTGCGTATGACTGCTGTGATTTTGATGTTTGTGTGTCTCATTAGGAGGTCGAGAAAGCAAAAAGGAATAAAGTGGTTCACATTGCCATGGAGATCATGAGCTCCGAGAAAGTGTGAGTAAAACCATAGTATTTGTGTACTCGTGTGAGTTGTTTGTGCGTAAAGGCGACAGTAATAAGTAGCTGACGGTTTCACATCATTTGCCGCTCGCTCGCTCGCTCCAAACGTAGTCCCATCAGCCGAGCGACGTATTTAACGTCCGAGATGAGTTCTGTACTGGAGCTAAAAGGCTAATAAAATATTGGTAAGGAAAGTCTATCACAAACAAAATATCCTTTTCTTAAATATTTGTATCTTCTACCTAGAAATGTGCATGAGGTGTTTGATTAGCTTTTAGCTAAATGTTCCGTATGTTATACGTTATATAAGGTCTAATAAGGTTTCCAAATAAAAATATGTTCCCTTGATAGCACCACAATTTAGTACCTTTAGTTCTGAAATTGTATGTTAGTTTATGGGTGCATCTCAATCAGCTTCCTAGTTCACTGATCAGGGCGTCGGCCATTTTAATGGCTGTCTCAATCGCAAACTCTTTCCAGTGCACTTGATTGTTTGCTTCCTAAATAAATCCCACAATGCACCACAGAACCCAGGGAGCAGCGATGTTCACAATGACTACGTTTACATGGACAGCAATAATCTAATTATTGACCTTAATCTAAGTACGGTAATAATGTGATGAAGGTGTTTACATGAGTCGCTTTTAGAATACTCCTGTCATGTTCCCGTTTTACATGTTATAGATCATAATTAGATTAACAGCCCGCGTCATTACGTCCCTCCAGAATTTCACGTATCAACATATAGTTCATCTTTGTTGTGGTACCGTATATAATTTTGGGTGTTTTTGTTTAATTTTTTACGAATGCTACCAGTACGCCAACTCGTGTACACCATATACTGATTAACCGTCCAGGGAGCTAGGGAGCTGATTGAGACGCACTCTGTTATGTTTTGAGCTGGCGCCCATTTTGGACAACCAGAAACACTTTGGCTGCGTCCGAAATCACATACTATGACAGTACGTCCTAATCAGTATGTGTGTGTATTATGAATACAATCCCGGACATACTACATCTGCCATGTTAGCATCATCATGTGACCTTCGACGTCATCCTAAACGCAAAAAAATCTTCAACAAGTTAACAATTTATTCGGGTATTGTTAAACAAGTCCTGTTTAAGCAAGGTTTAATTCTTAAAAAGAACCGACGCCGTCTTGTGCAATTTTTTTTTTTTTTTTGAGATCGTCCGCGCCAGTCCCGTTGCATTATGGGATTGTTTGACTCTAGTAGTGAAAGGAAATTCTCTTTATATTATGAACTGCTCTCAAGTATATGATGTAATCATTTAATTACCTCTTTGAATAAGCTGATAAACTGCTATCCTTGATTATATTATTAAGTATTTCCGTGTCAGCATGACACGGGACTTATTTTGTATCATGACTATGTGTGGTGTGTTTTGTCTAAATCTGTCTGACACTTGGACCAGTAGAAACCGTCCACGCAGTGCTGTTATCAATGTGTACAATGTGTATAAATACTCCTGTTTTGAATGAATAAACCAGGAAGTCTCTTTTGAACACACTCATATCTGTCAGTGTGTGTGTTCACTTCGCACTCTCCAGGCCTGAACTCTGCAGCTAAACACACTTTCTAGCTCATAGCAACGTAGAACTAAAAGTAACTAAATGTTACTAGACGTTAATGGTAAAACAGGCTGGAAGGCATGACGGAGATCGAAAAGGCGTAAACGGTAGATTCCGGTGGGGTGAAATCTAACACGTAGTGTCCATCAGTTGCATGCTGCAAATTCTCGCCGGAAGCAGTACGCCATCTGGGTATTACTGTTTCTCGCCTACTGTATAGTAGGTAAGTATGCGGTTTCGGATGCAGCCGTTGTCTTTAGCACAAATCGCTCTGCCCAAGTCAAGAAGAAGAATTGTGTAATGCACACCACACACACACACACACACAGACAGCCTGGGACAGAACTGTAGTGCAAAGCAGGAAGTGATGTACATTAAAAATATTTAATCTTTTGTAAATGCAGACTCTCCATATAAACAAAATATTATATAGCTTAATATTGTCTTTGGAGCACGTATGGAGATTTGCGCACGGATTTATGGAGTTTGGGTGAGGTTATTTCTAATACCTGTTAAATACGTTAACCTCATCGCTCCTAAGCAAAACATATGATACCTTTCTTTTCTCTTCAATAAATCCAGTTCAAACTTTTTTATATACTCTTTTGTATACTTAGTTGGCAAAGCTACATTTAGTGATTTAAGACAAACATTTTTGATATTTTTGCCATCGTGTCCATCCTTTGTTAATATTATACTGCTTATATAGAGAATGGATATATATAACGGGTATGAAAATGTGTCTGTTACAGATTTGTGGATGTTCTGAAGTTGCTGCACATTGTAAGTAAATCTAAATCATTTGGAACAAATTCAGAAGTAAATAGAACTGTCATCTGAAGGCCAGAAAAAACGGATAGGATAAATGTTTGCATACATATGTCATAAACCCTATTTATAATTTATGATCTTCTTTTTTTTTTTTCCTGCGGGATTACAGGAAGTGCTGGAGCACAGTATAAACACTGATACACACCTGTGGTTTTATTTCAGCCTGTGCTTGTAATGAGTGTGTGGAGGAGTGCACCAGGTTTAAACATGATCAGAGACAAAGGAAAGAGTAGCAATGAATTAAAGGACAAAGAGGAGGGGGAAAAAAAAACCCACCCTAGAATGAAAGAGCGCGTGTAGCGTAGCAAGAAAACAGCAACAAAAATAGAGAGGGAAGGAACAGAAGGCAAGACGTGGCGAGACAAAGGAGGGAGAGACGGAGAGATTTTTAGGAAAGAGGTCACACCCACCCCCTCTGGTGCCCACGCAGTTGGCCATGATCCCTAACAGCTGCCTTTAAGAAGGTCATGTGTGTGTGAGAGGGAGGCAGAGAAGGGAGTAAGCGAGAGATTATCTTCATACCAAAACTCCCCTGGTCGTTTCCTGTGCAAACTGATCCACCAAACCTCAGAGCCTTTTTCCACTGCACAAAGTACTGAATCGTTTGGCACCAGAAAACTGAAACAGTTCTTTTAAAAGAAATGAAAAAATGTATTTATTGGCTACCAATCCAGTACCAAGCATTCTAGTTGTGTGGTTTTGGTACCTGGACTGGAGTTGGAGGCGGGGATTGCGGCGAGGATTGATCATTGCTGATTGGTTGGACATACTGTGCGCAGACAGTCAAAACAGGCCAGGTTCAAGCACAACAATGCACAATATTTCCAGGCAAAGGGTGATCCCAAAGACTAGTCAACAGATCAGGGCAAGGGTCAAACACCAGAATAGCTCCACCGATACAAACGACTCAGAAGATTGGCGAGACTTTGCATTGTGGGAATGTTTGCATGTGCTTGGAGTGGCGGGTGAGCATCTTCCACAGGCGTGGAAGTTAATAGTCCCTGCACGATACCCTTCGTAGAAGAACCAGGGAGAGGAGTCAGAACCAAAAGTCCAGAAAGTGGAGACGACACGCTGTGCGTGTTTGTTCGTGCTGCAAGCTCTCTCGTGGGTTAAGGTCAGGGATTAGAGTTATAGGCTTATCAGGTCCAGCCCCACACCTTGGGCTTAGGGTTCTGTATTTTATTTGATTGACTTTTTTTCTCTCAAAAATTGTGCCTTCACAAAGCAGACATTTACTGCACAAATTCAGGACTTTGTTTTAGTTTTAACATTATGGGATATGACCTCACTGGATGTGATAACACCGTTACAGTGGGGTCAGTTGGAATTAAAAACACTGTAATTTCACCGGTCTCTAAGTTTATTAACGTCGAAGAAATGTACACACAATCTTTTTTGTTAGTATTTTCAACACAATTCACTTCCATGATAAATTCGGAAACGATTCTAATGCTCATACTTACGAGTTGCTGATAAGCTCCTGCGTTCCTGTTTACACAGTTAGCACTTTTGGACTAGATCGTATGCAGTTATAGAAGAGAAATGATTCACAATCGCACTAACACCCGGACGAGGTTCCCTTCGGAGTCTGGCTCCTCGCAAGGTTTCTTTCCTCGTGTCGTCTCGGGGAGTTTTTCCTCGCTGCCGAATGTGTATATTTTTGTAAAGCTGCTTTGTGACAATGTCCATTGTGTAAAAGCGCTATACGAGATCAAACTGAACTGAATCGAATATGTCCTTTGCAGCTGATATAAAGCTGGTTACTCCTTAACGTCCCAGCATGGTATACATTTATTCATCTTCAAACATATTACTGAACGCATATGT